AATCTTCAACTAGAAAAATACGAACATGTATTACATGTGTTTATATTGCTTACACATATGTATCTAGGTAACAACATACCACCATTTACAGGACCAGCAATGCTTGCGGCACTACTATCGCTACCACTCCCACCTTCTGCCATTTTACGCGTACAGGTAGCTATTGTAATGAGCCTACAATTTGATGCAGACTCGTACAAGGTTTGATGGAATTTTCGCAAAATTTTTACGAAAAAAACTAAAATTCCTTTGAGACAAATTCCAGCTACCTAATCAGACGCAGCTGTTTATAGGAGGAATCGTTCAGCCGAAAAATTAACAGCAACCAACGGGGGCTTTTATGTTAGGGAAAGCACGCAAATGAAGTATTGCAACAAAACACGGGTGTATTATTATCAGGCTGATAGTTTAAATACACACAAAATTTCTGCTTTAATTGTAAACTAATTAAAAAAGCTAAATTAAAACCGGGAAACCACTTCAATTGCAGATAGAATAGTCTTAAAATCAGTGCTGCCCAGTCAACTAATTGAAATACTCTACAAAAGTTGACAGCACTTTCGTGCTGCCAGATGGCACACCACCTTCGAATTAATAAAGAACGTAAATTTATTAGCGACAAAGACCGTATATAAAAGGAAGTAGATTTACGTTCAGAAAAAGTGATCGATGATTTGAAAATATGCAGAATCACTTGCTGATTCCGAAAGTTAGTAGTTTTTCCATATATAAGTTTTCGAGATTTCGCCACCAATCGGGGTTTCAGACAGGGCGACTTCCTTTCGTGTGACTTCTTTAATCAGATGTTGGAGAAGATAATAAGAGCTGCAGAACTGAACTGCTCAGGAACAATTTACTACAAGAGCGTGCAACTGCTGGCTTATGCCGATGACATCGACATCATCGGTAACAAAAACCGCGAAGTCTGTTCTGCCTTTTCCAAGTTGGATAGGGAAGCAAAGCGAATGGGTCTGGTGGTAAACGAGGACAAGACGAAGTATCTCCTGTCATCAAATACAGTCAGCACATTCGCTCCTTGGCACCCACGTCACTGTTGACAGTTACAATTTCGAGAAAGTAGAGAAATTCGTTTACTTGGGAACCAGCATTAACACCGATAATAATGTCAGAATTGAAATCCAACGCAGAATCACTCATGCCAACAAAAGCTACTTTGGACTGAGTAGGCAATTCAGGAGTAAATTCCTCTCTCGACGTACGAAAACCACGCTCTATAAGTCACTCATCATGCCCGTGCTGGTATATGGCGCAGAAGCATGGACAATGACAACATCCGATGAGGCGGCTCTTGGAGTGTTCGAGAGAGATTTTGCGGAAGATTTACGGGCCTTTACGCGTTGGCGACGGCGAGTACCGCAGACGATGGAACGATGAGCTGTATGAGCTTTACAACGCCATGGACATAGTGCAGCGAATTAAAATACACCGGCTCCGCTGGCTTGGCCATGTCGTTCGAATGGACACCGACGCTCCAGCTCTGAAAGTATTTAACTCGGAACTCGCTGGTGGTAGCAGAGGAAGAGGGATGCCCCCACTGCGATGGAAAGATCAGGTGGAGAAGGACTTGGCTTCACATGGCGTTTCCAATTGGCGTCAATTGGCGCAGAGGGGAAACGACTGGCGTGCTTTGTTGAACTCGTCCAAAATCGCTTAGGCGGCTACAGCGCCAAATAATAAGAAGAAGTTTTCGAGATATTTGCAATTTACCGTTATTCAGCTTAAAAAAGTGGTTCCACTTAACCACGTATATCTAATACGAAATGTAGCAAATAAAACGTAGAAAAACTCCCCATAAACAGTATATATGTATGTACATCAATTTTCTGTAAACTTAGTATTTTTTGAGAAATTTATTAATCATTCCAGATTTTTTATTTTTTTATGAAAAAATTAAAAAAAAAAAAATTGATTTAACAGAGAAAAAATTTAAGAAACAATAGATTTTTTTTTAAATATGTTTATTTGTATTAAAGCCTGTTTTTTTACAAAAAAAAGAACAGGTAGTACAGTAGACGCTCACAAATTAGAACTCTTAGTAGTAGTACAGTAGACGCTCACAAATTAGAACTCTTAGTAATTAGAATTTCCAGAAATTAGAATCAACTTTTTGAATACATTACGTATTTTGTTTTTTTGTTGCAAAATAGATATAAAAAGGGGAATCCCCAATTTATTCATGTTACGCTCGGTAGTCGTTGGATTTTCGTCGCTATCTGTACAGTTTTTGTTAGTTTTTGTTTGAAATTCGATTCGCGTGCACGTGTTTCGGCATTGTTTGCTTAAAAGTAAAAGTCGTTCGTTGAAATGACAAATAAACGTAAGAAAAATACTTTGTCTTTGGAAACCAAAGTGCAGATCTTGGAAAAGCTTGACCAAGGTATTCAAGGGAAGCGGTTAGCCCTAGAATTTGATGTGGCGCCATCTGCAATCACCTATATCAAATCTAT